TTCTCTTTCTCAATTCTCTCTCTCTCGTGTGTGTGTGTGTGTGTGTGTGTGTGTGTGTGTGTGTAAGCAGAACCCATTTCCCTTTACCTTTTTCCTCTAGATGTAATCGTTTCTCTGGCTTAAAAGAGGAGTTATTACAAGCATTCATGTTATAAAGACATCTGAGAGAGTGTACGTGGATCATCTTAGGGGAAAAAGCAGAAATTTCATGCTTTGTGAATTACAGAATTTCCTCTTTGCATTCAAAACTCAGTATTTTTCATGAAGGGTGAGCACTAGTATATAATAACACAACAATGTAGTATATAGCATGGGTTGGAATAATTCTGAGTAATTTTAGTACTCAAAATTCAATCGGTATTCTTCATCATTTAAATTTACATTATAATTCAGTTTGCAAACATCTTAGACTAGTAACTAAGGTTCCCCCCCCACCCAGAAAAATTTAAACATACAAAAATAGAATAGTATTTAAAAAAGAAATGCCACGTCTCCATCACCCATCTTCATCCACTACCACTCACGGCCGATTCTGTTTCGTCTCCCCCTATCTCCTGCCCTCCCCCCGGATGTCACACCATATCGTCTGTAACTGGTGTCTCTCTAAACACTCTAACAAATCTAATTGGGTAGTATGTCTCTTAAAGCTTCTTTAATCTATAAATTCTCTCCTTCCTTTTACTTCTATCCACTCTCCTTCCCTCCCTCCCTCGCATCCATCCATCCATCCATCCATCCATCCTTCGTGGACTTTACTCAGTAAAGAAACTGACAACTTTCTCCCGTAGAAGTTTCCATAGTCTGCGTGGCCGAGTAAATCTCTGTGATGTTATTTAACATGCTCTCTCTCCACCTTTACGTCCTCATTTCTGTGAGCAGGTAATTGAATCTAGAGGTACGATCCGATGGTATTTTGAATTGTTGGTAAGACAATTTCAGAGGTGGTGGCCCATGATTCCATCAGGAGGCTCACATTGTTGGGTCGTGTCTTTTTGGCATGTTAGTCACCACTGATGATGACTACCTAGATATATTATTTTACTAAGGGTCTGTAAAAGAGTGATATTCTCAGGCATCCATTGCTTCTGCATTTATTAGTGAGAATAAGTATTCTCCACATTTAGTATTTATTCTGATAGTTTGTACAGAAAAAGCAAGTTCAAATATTTGATTTTTTCCCTATACTTATTATTTTTCAGAATAACAAATTAGTTTCCTACTATTCTCTGAATGTGACCAGTGAGTTAATCAATAAGATTAACTATTATTGACTCTCAGAGAGTCCCTGTGGGAACCTCTTTAAGTTTGTCCCTGAGACCATCTGGCACAACTCAGGGATCTCTGGGTAGTGTCCTGGCTCTGTGGCATGACAGCTGTTCCAGGCTCATTTCCGGCCCTGACTGGCAGATGCAGTGGAGCCTCCCGACACATGGCGGGAGCTGGCACCAAGGCTGCCGCCGTTGCCCGGCTGCTGGCGTGCTGGCTGTCGCTGTCTGCTGTCTCTGGGGCTTGTCAGCACCTGGATACGGGAAGCCTTTTATTTTTTTTTTAAAGCAAAACTAAATTATAAATTTACACAACTATTTCCAGTGCAGATAACAGAATCACCTGGCTTTACTTCCTGAGTTCTGTATTTACACCTCTTTTCTATTATGCTGAAAACCTTGGTCTCTAAAGACTAATGTAATTACTTCTCTTTTTTCTTTTTTTTTTTTTTAAAATGCCTACAGCACCTGGTCTTCCTAGGTGGTCTCCCATCCAAGTACTAACCAGGCCCAACCCTGCTTAGTTTCCGAGATCAAACAGGACATAATTGCTTCTCTTTTGTCTTCTATGACATCTGATGGTTTCAGAATAAAAGTATCCACGTGATGATTAGAATATTTTCACCGAGAACAGTTCAGTTTTCTCTGAAGTTCTTTTTGTCCTCAGGGTTATATCCCGGATGGGTAACATAGTCAGATTCTTATGTTTTAAAGAAATAATTCTTCTCTGAATGGCTATGCTGTCGCATTGATATATAGTTGAATTTTCCTTTTGCTATTTAGAAATTTTTTTTTTGAAAAAAATTTGATTTAATTTTGTTTTATAATCATGTAAAAGATTTACGTGGTTCCAAAGCCAGATCTCTAAAACAAGTGGTTTTACTTGGTTTCAGAGGTGAATAATTGCTTTTTCTTTTTTAACTGTAGGATCTCTTTGGGAAGTCAGATCCGTACCTGGAATTCCACAAGCAGACATCTGATGGCAACTGGCTCATGGTTCACCGGACAGAGGTGAATATCTGAAGTTGACACGTCGAATCGCGGTTTCCTTTGGAATTATAGTAATCTGAATTTTTAGAAATTGTTTTTATAAAAACATCAATCTGAGTTCATACGTATAGAGCTAGGAACACAAGGTCGGCGTGCTCTTTTTTTCTTTTGATGAGGACGTGCTGCCATACTTAATTATTAGTAAAGTTTTTTTGAGAAATTTAAAACCCTGTAAAGAACACTAAAATGTGTACCCTACACATTTGTACCTTTGCCTGCACACGTCTCACTCACTCACTCACACACGCACGCACACACACGTGCGCGCACAGGAACGTGTATACCTCCCTCCCTTCTGCAAAGGCCCCTAAAGTAGGCCACAGACCATGGCTCGTCACCTGTAAGGAGCTCACGGGTATTTCTCAAGGAGGGCGCGCTCCCGCACGGCCACACTGGAGCAACTGTCACCGACTGAGCAGCCTCAGCCAGTACACTGTCCACCTTCAGATGGCCCCGCCGTCCCACGCGTGCCCGACGCGCATATTGTTTTGTTCTGTCCAGAATCAGTCTAGGTTCACATTTCGCGTTTGACTGTTATGTTCTCAACGCAAGACTCTTCCCCTGCCTCCCTTACACTTTCCTGCCGTTGAGTCTCTTAATCGTCCAGACCAGTGTGTCCAGCTTTCTGGAGTCTTGTTTCCTCCCAGCTAGATGCAGATCAGATGCTGCTCTCAAGAATGTTACGTGTGTACCTTGCTCTGCATCAGCAGGGGACCCACGTGTCACGCTGCCCAGTGCTGATGACGCCAGCCTTGGCTCCGTGGTTACGATGGTGACCGAGTCCTGTTTTCCCCTTTGTGATTAGTGAGTGGTGTGTGGTGTGACACTCTGAGACTGTGTCGATGACCTGTTCCCCAGCATTTCACCCAAAGGTTTTAGCGTCTGTTGATGACGCGTACCTGAATCGATTATTGTACTGGGGTTACAAAATGCTGATTTTGTCCTAAACCTTCCATTCCTTTTCATGCATTCGCAGATACTTCATCTGTCTTCTCTCACTTTCTCTTCGTTTTCAGTATCATTGTAGACTCACGGGTTGTTATGACACAGTGAGTTCATCATGTTATAATTCATCACTGTCATTTTTGCTGCTTGAGTTAACCCAGGTGTGGCCAGGGCAGGGCCTTCAGACGGCTCCCGGCTCTTCGGCACGACCCTCGTCCTTCAGCGCTCTCGTGCTTTACGTTAACGCGTAGCCGCAGTTGACCAGCTCTCACCCCGTCCCGGGCCTGGAACGAGCCTCCTCCTGACCAGCGCTGTCCCTTTCAGGAGGAGGAAGTATTTAGACCCCAGACCTGAGTGCCGATGTACTCGCTGCTCCTGGGTTGGTGCTGCATTTAGCCTTTTCCGTGGGCACAGCTGGGAAACGCGTAGATTTGTTCATCTGTTGATGATGTGTGTGTATCCATTACAGCTTGTTTAGAGTACGAGTGCAGACTACCTTAAGTGTGAACGCAGCCCAGCAGGCCTCTTTCTCAGCCTTTCTCACTCCATGTCTGAAGCTCCTGTGTCCTGCAGGGGAAACGCTGGTCTCCAGCCAAGCCAGCAGCCTGCAGTGTCTCGGGCACCTTGTCACGGGTGGGTGTGCTTCCCAGATAGCTTTCTCTTTCCTCCGAATGTGTCAGAACTACACGACCTATCACAGTTTTCATGTAACAGTCGTATACAGTATCCTCACTGGTTTTTCAGGGAAAAAGTTGACTGAAGAGGCGAAGGACGATTGGCGAGCGTGCAGCAAGAATCTAGGGGGATAAAAGAGCAAATGTTAATGAACTGAATGTTTTTCTAACCTGTCTCCGAACCTTCGTTTTCACAGGTTATTAAAAACAACTTGAATCCTGTTTGGAGGCCTTTTAAAATCTCCCTTAACTCCCTGTGCTATGGAGATATGGATAAGATTATCAAGGTAATTTGAAATTACATACACGTACATACTCGCCTCTTACAAAATAATTGATTAGTTAGTTTTTAAAGAAAGTAAGTGATACATCAGAGACCCGGAGGATTCAGTTCTGTTCGTATTCAGGAATCCTGAAATAGGAGTGTCTGGCAGGTAACTAGTTTGCAGAGCTGACGCGTTTGATCTGTTGATGCTGAATCAAACGTTGTGATTTTTATTTTACTCTTCATTTTTAAAAATAAAATGTCAAATTTAAACCTTTCTTCCTTTTACTGAGATTCCTCTTTTCTATGAATAGGAACCTTTAACTGCCTCTGGCGTGTCCCTTGCAGATGAAAACGGATGTTGCTTTGGCTAAGACCCTAGCCCCGCCTGCCCCCAGCCCGTGCCATTCCCTTCGCCTGTGCAGAGCGAGAGAGGCTGTAGCTGGCTGTAGCTTCAGAGCGTCAGGAAAGCAGAGTGCCAATAGGGAGCAGCTGCAGATATCGAAGAATTGTCTAAAACATGATTTTATTTATAACCATTTATTTAAAAATGTTATTTTTAAGGCACTTTTGTACTCGAGTCACATCTTTACATAAGATTCCCGATAGAAGCTTTTTCTTCTGTTCAGATGTCAGCAAACTGAGATGGGTTTTGTTTACTTTCCCTTTTTTTGTGACGAATACAGCGGAAGCGTGAAAGCCCACGGCATGCGGCCCACAGCATGCGCGAGCGCAGGGTATCGAGTCAGACCACATTCCAGGCTTCCGTCCTTTAAGCAGCTAAGGGATCTCGAGCAGGTTATCTAACTTCTTCACTTATATAGTAGAGAAAACAATGTCTATGCTACAAAAAAAGTAAGGATCAGTGACAGTGAAAGTCATATAAACTGTTGAACACAGTACAGATGCTATTATCAAAACTGCATCATTTCTTAAATCCATAAAAATCTGTCCTTAGCTTGCAGAGAACTTTAAAAATCAGTCTAAGTATGATTTGTGTGATATTTCCAACAGCAGTGAGACTCTAGGTGCCGTGAGGAGGAACAGACTCTACTCACCCTCGAGGTTCTCTCGGCTGGTCTGATGATCCGAATTGAATACTCGGGTACCTGTGGGAACCCCGCATACCGGAGAGGTTGACTTGGGAAGGGAAACTGAGGTCCAGCAGGCCGTCCGCCCCCTGGGCTTCAGAGGGCCGTGGGGGGAAGAGCCCGTGTCCAGTCTTCAGTAGTGTGCCCTGCCCTACAGATGGTCGAGGTCATGTCTAGGGATGACTCTCACGAGCGCCAGGCTCCTAATTTAAATTCTTCTGACAGCTCAGCGGGCAGCGAAAGTTCCTCGTGAGCCTGCAGTCTCGGTTGCCTTTAGCTCGAAATAATCTGCGTGCAAAATAAATAGTAGAAAAGTAGCTTTAAAAATTACTTTTGGGAGTATTTGGGATCTTGTTCTCTAGCATATGTTGTCAGTTTGCCTCAAACTCGTATAAAAATTTTAAAAATTTACTTTTTATTGTTAGACTGAATCTAGAGCTTTTGCTTTTCACATTAAAACTAGTAAGCTGAAGCTTCATTAGATCTGAGAAGTAAGAAAGGCTGGGGAAAATATGCCTAAATCAAAACTATTTGATTGTTTGTAATAATATGTTAACGATGAAACAATGTTTTTAAAATTTTTTTCTGCACACAGTGACTTGCGTACAGGGCTGTTTTACTATAGTAAGTAAACTGATTTTCTGAGCTTTCTCTGATGAATGTCTGCCATTCTTCAAAGCTTCTCAGTTTGTTTTAATGACACACAACTTGGTTTGCCACATCATCACTCTGTTTTCGTTCCATATTTCTTGGCAATGTCAGGAAGTCATAATCTGTGGTTCTCGTGGTGTTTGCAAATCGCTTAGAGGTGTAGTAAAGACTCAGAGCAGAGAAGAGAGTTGGAGTCGTCATAATTTCTCGGCTGCCGTGGGAATGTGCAGTGTTCCCCCTCTAGCACGTCACATGACTTCCATAAGCTCCAGAGAGTAAGTGCTCCTGCATGCTGCCGCCCCCCGCCCCCCGCGGTGGGGCTGCCTCGGCGAGTGTGCTGTGTGCCGTGTGCATCCTTCCCGTGTGTGCATGTGCACAGGTGTGCACATGCATACGTTGCAGTTTCACAGGCACCGCTGACACTGTTGTTTAAAACAGACAACAGTACTAGGTTTTGAATCCTTGAGAAGAGAAATTAAATGACAAATCATTATGTCATCTTCCCTCAACATATGCCAGCATTATGAACGTCATATTTTTCTTTAGTACCAAATATGTCTGCAATGGGGCGACAGTGAGCTTTTCCTATATATTATAGTGAGTTATCAAACTATAGTCAAAAACATTTTTACGTTCCCTAAAGTTTCAGCAGACTAAACCTATGAACAGTGTTAGCTCTTCATAAGCTTTGTGTAAATAAAATCTTGGCATTATCAAAGCTTGATCTTGTCTCAGGTATAAATTATAGTTTCCTGAATGCAAATTTAAAATGTAAAGTTCTGTTCTTCATAATTTAAACATAAAAACCTATTAAAAATGAAATTATTAAAATATTAGGATTGTTTTTGACTTTATCTTAATTTCAGTTCATCTAGAAAAAAATCATTAAGGTCATTAATATTTTTTTCCCCTGACACTTTAGAGAGTCAGATAACGGGTTTTCAGTTTAAAAACTGAGCATCAAATATCGGGCAAGAGTCAAATTGTCATAACTGGTTGGTGACCAAAGTGCTTGCCAACAAATAAAAACTCCTAAGAGTTACTCAGAATTTCAATTCTGGACCTTGTTTGTTTTTATTAATCTATATTTAGTCTTCCCAAATAAAAATGGAAATAAAGGAATGAAAGACTTCCTATTATGAGAAGCACTCAATTTACTTCTCATAGAACTGAGAAGAAAAAAATTACTTTGCCAGGTGAACATGTATAAATCCTGAAATTTATGGTGAAGTTCATGACATTTATTAATTTCATGCTATGAAATGCCACCAGCACGTTAGCTTGGTTAACATGACTTTTAACAGCAAAGGATAACAGCAAGATGGAGGGTTGGCAAAGGGTAAATGCTAATTGCTTCTGAGTCCTGGGCTCGTATTTTCAATCACAGGCTCTAGGGCAGGGGTTCCCAAACCCCGGCCCACAGACTCTACTGGTCCCTGGTCTGTTAGGAACCGGGCCGCACAGCAGGAGGTGAGTGGCAGGCCAGCGAGAGAAGCTTCATCTGTATCTGCGCCAGCATTACCGGCTCAGCTCCACCTCAGGCATTAGATTCTCATAGGTCCCTGGTGCCAAAAAAGTTGGGGACGGCTGCTCTAGGGTTCAAGTGTCCCTAGCACAGCTGTCCTTTTAACTATGATGGTCACCGCACGAGACACAGGGTCTTTCCCAGCCTACCTCACCAGCCTCACTGGGTAATGCGTGCAGACACGTAATGTCTGCAGAAATGAAATAATCTGTTTTGAAATTATAAAGCACTATAAAAACACTGGTTACTGAGTGACCACAACGAACACCTCTGCTTGCCAGCAGTTCCCACCCCTTAATTTTCTCGTTGCCATGAGTACGCAGGTATTGTGAACACTTACTCTCCGGCCACCTGTCACCTGGCACTGAACTGCACGCAGACCACACATCCTCAGCTCTGTTCCATCTGCTGGAAGAGCAAGCATTAGAAAGCTGCAGCTTACGCTAGACCCCATGTGCCGCACCTGGGCACGGAGTGACCTTGACCCCACAGAGCTGCTTCCTCAGTGGGCGCGGCGCTCTTCCTGGAGTCCTTGCTGCTGTCGAGCTGTGACTCTCAGGGTTGCGGATCTGGCTTTGTCTTATCTAATAAGCCTCGCCTTGCCAGGGGGCAGAACTGGAGGACAGCGTCATAATTCTAAGTCATCTGGCATTTACTTATGCAACTTTTAGCTGCCTAGGATACCGACTTCTTCCCTTCCTCCAGACAATGGCTTTGAGCCCCTGGGCAGTGACACAGGGTAAAGAGGTGGCTGAGAAAAAGGTGATTCTGTTTTGACTTTACATCACTTGTAAAGAGCACGACAGAGGAGCTGCCTAATGCGGAATCTGAATAGTGTTGCTTCCATCCGCCTGTGACCTGTTCTAGGACCATCCCAAGGATTGTTAGGGCTTGAAAGGGTATCAGCATCGCGTCTCCAGGAAGTAGTTCCTGCTTCTCCAAATAGGACTGCATATGAAACATGTTCACTTATTTTAATTAAACGGGCACGTCTAGATAAGTCTCATTTGTTGCGGCCGATCCTTTTTTTAACACAATACGTTGGTTTTTATATATTTTTGTTGTACTTGACTCCAGGTAGAGTGCTATGACTACGATAACGATGGGTCACATGATCTCATTGGAACATTCCAAACCACCATGACGAAACTGAAAGAGGCCTCCAGGAGCTCGCCTGTAAGTCCTGCCTCTGTCTGAGCGCAGCTGCCAGTCGGCTCTGTGGCTATTACTGCAGTTTTTCCTTTGTTACAACAAACAGTGTATCATGTTTTTACTCTGCGTCTGAGCGCAGCTGCCAGTCGGCTCTGTTACAACAAACAGTGTATCATGTTTTTACTCTGCGCTACAGGATGCTCAAAACCTGTGGATTCATTTGTTCAGTAATCAGACGAATCAAAATTCATACCTGGGCTGTGAGTTTACACTACTATTTAGAGGTCTGGTTTTCTTGGCTGCAGACCTACATTATTTGATTGAAATTTCCTCATTTTAAAGCATTTGACATTTCATTGGTCACAATAATCAACATACACAGCACTGGACAAGACCTGGTTTTGAACCGTGTACACTTTTACAGCCTGCGTCTGGCTCTCGGGAAAGGCATGGTTGTGGTGCTTCAGATGAGGGAATATGAAGCTGCCATCTCACGGCACTAATTATGTCAAGATCATTTGCTTTCGCTACGTTCGGTTTAAAATTTGGCATTTCATTGGTCACAGTAATCAACATACACAGCACTGGACAAGACCTGGTTTTGAACCGTGTACACTTTTACAGCCTGCGTCTGGCTCTCGGGAAAGGCATGGTTGTGGTGCTTCAGATGAGGGAATATGAAGCTGCCATCTCACGGCACTAATTATGTCAAGATCATTTGCTTTCGCTACGTTCGGTTTATCGTTTAGCATCCAGCGCATTTCTAACAGTGCCTCTGAAACATCCACCTCTAAGCCAGGGTGGCTCAAAACTGTCCCACAGTGCTTTGTAAGTAAAACTTTAAATTGCTTACCTTTCTAATTGGCGTAAGATAAATTGTTAATTCTCTTTGTAGCTTAGAATAATACACGAGTGTTTATTAGCTGCTTAGAGACCTGAATAATGCTCGTGTATATTTCATTTACTTTTGAAAATACAGCCGTGGAATTTCAGAGGTAAAAACTCATGGCCAAGTGGGAAGGTCTGTTTCACCTAGTCAGGAAGGTGAGGTGACCTAAAAGAAAATGCTGATCGTTTAGATCAAAACTTCAAAACTAAAGGAATCAAGAACAGCTCTGAGCCATTTGCTTTAACTAACTGGGAGATGACTTTCAAACAGACCGAGGGTCTGGAATTCTCAGCAGGTCACGGAGCGATCTCCAGTCTGTCCCTGCTCCGTGTCATGGGGCCTGGGGACAAGGAGCAGCCTGTACAGAGGTGCTGGCGGGGCGCAGGCAAGACTCGCCAGAGCTCACCTGTGCTTTAAACGCAGAGCTTGACTTGGCTCTCAGTTGACAGCCTCTGAATTAAAACAGGAAAATTCGGCTGTAAATATTCTATTTAAACATTTTTTAAAGGCAGAACTAATGAAAAACGGTGAAAACGGGAACGCTAGTGGAAAGCAGGCCCCCTTAAGGAACCAGACAGCATGAGGCGTGGTCTGGACGATCATTTCTCCAGTTTCAGTTTGTCGTTATTTTCCCGACTCAGTAAATGACCCGCTTTGAGATGATGATAAACTAACAGTTAACTGCACAATACTTTGTGAATCATGTCACGTTTTCCTAAACTCAGCTCACTTGTGATAGAAGGTGGCTTTTGATGTTGCTGCGGTGACAGGGCTTGCTCGCCCCGTTCTTGCACGGCAGGCTGTCTCCCCATTTCTGAGCTCCGCTGAGAGCAGCGCCTGCCACGGGTGGTGCTCAGTGAGGGTGTGAGCCCAGGCAGGGCGGGCAGGGCGGCCACGCGGCCAGTGGCCGGTGAGACCCCGTCCGGGGCGGCTCAGAGGCTCCTGATTAGCGCTGACGCGGCGCCCGAGGCCCGCTGGGATCCGGAGCCCGCAGGAGTTTGTTTACATGACTGTGTTGTCTCACTGTATCAAACGTACTTTTTAAAAAAGATATCTAATATTAGGGTGCCTTTCGGAAGTGTCTTTGATACATATTCCGCACACAACACGTTACGCCCTTGTTCGGGAACTGTCTTTTGCAGCGGGCCTACGATAGGAAGGTGGTTCGATTCCAAGAAGAAAAAGTCGCTTATGTAAATTGACCCTGGCATTTCTGATATCACTAGAGAGAATGAACATTTTTTCTTTTCTCCCTACAGGTTGAATTTGAATGCATAAATGAAAAGAAGAGACAGAAGAAGAAAAGCTACAAGAATTCCGGTGTCATCAGTGTGAAGCAGTGTGAGGTCAGTCGATCGAGACCGTTTTTAGATCCCATTTCCAGTTCTTTTATCCGTATGGTATGTCTCATACGCACACTTGAATTTGGGGGAGCTGAAAATCACATGAGCATCTGGGCACTTTAGAGAAAAGAAGAGAGTAAGAAACAGTAAAGAAATCTTTCAAGTAACTTCACTTCCGAGGTGTGACTTTTTTAGCAAAGGACAAAGAGTGTCAGTTTTTCACGATCTTAGGAAATATGAGGCCCCGTGGCATTTTCCCAGTGTGTTAGTGGAAACAATGTTATGAGTGGAGGAAAAAATCCTGATTTCTTACAATAAACAAGCGGGTTTTTAAAAAATCTTGATCATTATGCTTATTAAAGCTTTCAACATATTAGACTCATTATTAGTTTCTTAAAACTTAAAGGGAGTGTGTTTCATCTTTGGCCATTAATATTCTCTCTGAACATTGTTATAATTATCTTGAAGTAAAATCTCAGATTCATGACATGTAGGGGCGGGGCCTTAAACTCAAGTGCAGAGGCGGTTTCCACATGTTTATATCATGCTCCGTTCAGCTCATAAACTGTTAAAAATACCTGCCAGAGCTCTTTGTTTCTCTTGTACAGCAGGAGTTTTACTTTTAACCGTTGCTATTTGATTTTAGATTACAGTGGAATGCACATTCCTTGACTATATCATGGGAGGCTGTCAGCTGAATTTTACTGTAAGTAACTCACCGAAGTTTTCAAAGTAGGCTGTAATATGTTGCTTTTTTCTTACATTTTGCAGTGTTCTTTCTTTTCCTGCAAAAGTGACTTCATGATGACATTTACGTACTCTGTTTAGTATGGTCTCCTTAGACAGGTGGTCCAGATATGTCATGAAGCCTTCAGCTCTGTTGATAAGATCTGTTCCTTCTGAAAGAAAGTAGACACCAGTGATTATTCTGCAGCAATTTAAATAATAAAAAGCATCAGTCAGACATACAAAAACCGGCCCTATGTCCAAAGCCATGGGTGTAATAATCCATGATCCAAGGCATCTAGGAAACAGACAGCAGCCTGTCTCACGCTGAGGCCCGAACCTTTGGCTGTGGAAACACCTGAGTCTCAGAGGCTCCGGGAGGAGTGTTTGTGCCTCATCTGGACGTCAGCACAGCCCTGCCTGCTTTAGTGAGGGCTGTCATTGTTGCTTGCAGGTGGGGGTGGACTTCACTGGCTCCAACGGTGACCCACGGTCTCCTGACTCCCTTCATTACATCAGCCCCAACGGCGTGAATGAGTACTTGACCGCCATCTGGTCTGTGGGGCTGGTCATTCAGGATTACGATGCGTGAGTATGACCGAACGTCCTCGCTCCCTCACGGAGCTGGGGGGCCGAAGCTGCTGGGGGAGTAGCTTCCTCTCTGAGATTTCTCTTGTCTCACCTTGTCTGTTTTTTTCTTGGTGGCAGTCCTGGTGTTTACCTTTGACCTCTAATTGTGGTCTGTGGTCACATTTGTAACGTCTTATGTACCTTATGTGTCCCTGGTCTAGTTTTCTTGGAGTTTACTCGTTAGAGAAAAGCTGTGTGACTGAAGTCCAGATGACACATTCTGTAAACACGAACTATTTCTTAACACGCCAATGTCCTTGGCAGACACTGCCAAATTCTTTTCTTAATGGTGACTTTGAACGAATGTCGAAGGATAACTTGACCTAATTGCTATACAATATTTTGAATGAATTCTCAATGGATAGATTTTGAATAGATTTAAATAGTTTTTTTCAAAGGTTTACTAAACAATAGAAAAAACATCTACGTTTGTAATTTTTTGTTCTGGATCCGTTAGGGCACAGTATAAAATTTCACTTGTTTTTACCTGTTATTTTATGATAAAAGCTCTTACATATTGATACAGCTTTTCATTAAACTGTTATGACAGTTAAAGAGGTGAAATTTTCAGGCAAATAAAAAGCAAAGGTAGCAAGTCCAATATTAGCCTAATAGAGTTTAAGGCAAAACTCAATAAATATAAAAAATTACTTTATAAAACTCTGTTATATAATCCAAAATGAAAATATAACCATGGACATGTTTAATAACAGAGTATTAACATATTTCCACTGAAAACAGCTAGAAATATAATAAAAATTTCAAAGAAATAAGTTATAGTGAGGCTCATATAGAGTAAACATTTACAGGGTTACTTTCTCCGACTGCCGTCTGGAAATTAATAACAGCAGGATAACTAAAGAAAATTTACCGTGTGGAAAGTAAAAAGTTTTTAAATGCGTCTTGGCTCAAACGGAAGTGTGATCGCAGACTGTGGAAATAAAGTGTACAGGGAAGGCCGCAGCAGTGCTGTGTTCATACAGGAGAATTTCTGGCTTTATGTGCTCTTATTTTAAATGAGAAGAAGTGAATATAAATGAACTAGTTTTTCAATAAAATAAAATTAAAGAATAAGAACAAAAAAATAAAGAATAATAGTAATAGATCCCTATAGGTGTGTCAGAGATGATGCAAAATTCTTCCTCCATGATGTTCATCTAGTCCTCATCCGCGCCCTGAGGCAGGTACTGTCACCATCTGCACTGTACAGAGCGCACTGAGGTGTGGGGGTCACTTGTCCGGGGTCACTCTGGTAAACTGGCAGAGACCGGATCAAGCCTGGCCTGTGTGGCTCCGGAGACATGCTTTCCAGCTGTACTTCCGCTAAACACAGATAGTTTTGAAAAACCCACCAAATTACTGCATTAAACAAAGAGATAATTCTTTGCAAGTTCAACAAAACTGGGACTCATCTTTGCTCACATTGATCCCCGTGAAAGACTGAAAATGCGCAAACAGTATTAGTAATGAGACAGATTATAAGCATAAATTCAGGAAAAAAAAATTGAAAAGTATAAGTTGGTACTGCATAAAACTTTGTTATCACACTGGAAAATCTGACTAACGGGGGACTCATTAGGAAGCTTTAACTTACCATAGTTGGCTGAGAGGCAGGAACCCAGAACACAGTGGGGACCACGGGCCGGACGGAGCAGCCGCTGCTGACAGAGGCCGCAGGCCGGGGCGATTTCAGGCATTCATGCCCGCAGACCTGCCAGGAGCAAAGTCCGGGTAAGCGAGTCACATGAAAAACGCCATCAAGTGGTGAGAGTTCAGAAAGGTGGTCAGAGACGAAAAATCAGTTTCTCACTCAGCGGCAATAACTGTTTCAAGATAAAAGATCAGGATCCCTAAGGCAGTAAAAAACGAGAATGAACGAGCTACAGGTCTAGGACCGTTAGTGAGGGAAAACCACGAAATCGTGCCGAGGAACAAAGAAGGAAGCGCGATTCTAGACAGAAGCCATAGTGATGTGAGACGCAAAATTTCTCCCTGAATTAATCAATTTTAAGGCAAACTGAAATGGAACCTTGACAAAACGGTTCTTAAAATTTTCTAGAAGGAAAAATGAATCGGGATAGCCAATAAAATTTTCAGGAAAAGAATTTGTTCTAGAAAATAGTAAAACATTTTAAAGCTATATTAAGATGATGGATCTAAGACGTGGCCAGTGGAACAATGCAAGAAATCTTGAAATAGACCCAAGTGTGTACGTGACTTTAGTATAGGACAGGGATGGCATTTTAGGGGACAGTGCTGTAACGGCTGTTGAGCTGGATGGGAGCTGAACTTGGACCCCTGACCCGTCCCTGTGTATGTTAGGACATAACACAAATTACAGTTTGTCTATGTAAATTATAGACAAACTGCTGAAATGGACACCCCGAAAACAAAGTGGTTTTGACAAAACAGAGGTTTACTCCCCTTTCGCGTTGCCGGCCTAGGGGTGAGAGGGCAGTTGTGCCATCCCAGCCCCCAGCTTCCACGCCAGGTCCCGGGAGCTGCTGTCGCTCCCACCTTGTCCAGCCCGGAAGAGGAGAGGGGCGGGAGTGCACGTGCCTGCCCCTGCCCTCCTCGGGCGAGCACGGTCCCGGTGTGATGGGTGTGGCTGCCATACCTGTTCGGCCTCCTCGGCCCGCGCCAGGCCTGGGCCCACGTGCCGCCCGGAGGGGCCAAGGTGGAGCCTTGGGCTCCGGCTCGGCGTCCCGTCACTGAACGCGGAGGGCCCAGGTACCACGGAGAGGCGCGCCTTCTGTGCTCGTCCTGCACCAGAACCTTCCAGGTGGACTGGGCGTTTAACATCAAAAACAAACCTGAATGTTCTAGGAGAAAAGGTGCATGACTTGCTTATAGTCGTGCCGTGAGGACAGCCTTTCGGCAAGAAAGCAGAGGCAGAAATCGTGAATGAATTTTTATTTGTCCACATTAATATTAAAAACTATAAAAGGAAAATATTTTAAATAAAGTTAAAGACAGATTATAAACTGGGAAAAATATTTCTGACAAATATAACACAGGGTCTATCCTCAATGTGAAAAAAACCATTAAGAATTAATATAAAAAAGAATATCCATAGTAGAAAAAATAGCACGTTTATTCCAGTGATTTCTGAGGCAGGACACTGGGGAGAATGTCCACGGAGCGGGTCACCTGGCACCATTCACAGGATGCTATACATTCAGGCCCACACTCCCGCAGCCCGAAATCACTGGGGCCAAATAGTCATACGTTTTGCCGCAGAAACATGAGAGTTTTATATGTGGCATTTGCACCACGTTTCTGTGGCCGAGTGCATGAATATTCATATTATGTGGCAGGAGTAAAGACTATAAATCACCTCCTGTCAGCTTTGCTCAGGTGTCACTGCCAAATGAGTTTGCAGCAAACAGATGAAAACCTTACGTATTTTAGGGCTTTATGGACTTATCTACATATTTATTCAATGAAATAATATCCAGTATTTAAGTAGAAAAGAATGTTACAAAATATGAACATAAACTCAATTTTTATAAATACTTATAGACATTTTTCTCCCTCAATGCACATAAAAATATTTAGAAGGAGAATTGCCAAATATCAACAGGTTTTTCTCTGGCACTTATTATGGGTAACCTTTGTTTCATCTTTATATTTTTTAAGATTTTAAATTAAAAAAGTAAGTTCACACTGGTTTTATTATGAATCAAGATAAAACCTTATTTTGAAGGAAGAGCTTTTATTTTTTTTTCGCATTTTCTTTCAGTGATAAGATGTTTCCAGCCTTTGGGTTCGGAGCTCAGATTCCTCCTCAGTGGCAGGTAAGGGGCCGGGCCGCGGTCCAGGTCTCAGATTCCTCCTCAGTGGCAGGTACGGGGCCAGGCCGCGGTCCAGGTCTGCCGCCCGAGCGGCGGAGCCGGCCTCATCCGCCCTTCTCTCCTCTCTGCAGGTGTCGCACGAATTCCCCATGAGCTTTAACCCGTCCAACCCCTACTGTAATGGTGAGTTAGAGATGCGCGTGGCCCGTGTGGCGGACAGCCCGTTAGCGCTGCCCGTCTTCTGTGATGGACAGCCGCTCAGGTTCTCTGCGGGTCTCTCCTTGCACGGGGCCCTTTCCGTGGGGGCGAAGTGGGGGCGCTGCACCCCGGGCGGTTAGAATGACACTGGTGGTGACCAGAGGCGGCGGAAGCGATTTCAGGCTGAGTTCCCCCTCGGACAGGAGAATTCTCCATCTTGAGACCAGATCCACAAACAAGGTCCCGTTATTTTCATGTACGAGTTGACTTAACACAGACCTCGATGGAACGAGTGATTCGGCGTACAGATCTTTCGAAGCTCTTCGCAGAGTGGCAGTCACTCCCTGCGAGGAGAAAGTGTCCAGCATCCGATTACTTGTCACTCAGTGTCCCTGAGCAGGTGGCCGGGCTCAGGGAGCACAGGTTACGCTCCGGCAGCAGCAGGAGGCCGACGCTCGTGTTTCGCTTTTCCCCCTATACTTCAGGTGCCCAGTGTTCTGCCTTTTGATCCCACTGAACAGCTACCCGCTAAATGCCACCTCCCCCCCAGAATTCTGTAAGCGTGGGGAGGGGAGGCGGCGGCCCAGGGGTGGCCGGCCTGAGCCAGCTTCCTGGGAGGGCCCCCGACAAGCACAGGACGCAGGTCTCCACGTATGAATGTCACATCCTCAAAGGTGGTTCTTGTCAGTCTGGAGTCCAGGGTGACTAAGAGGAACTATGTACAGCTTTAAGAGGAGAGAGTTGGTCTTGTGAAGCTTTTAAACCAAGTACCTGCTTCTCCTCCTCGTTGATCTCTGTGCCATTGGACATTTTTATGCTTTTCATCAGCCGTCTTTGAGGGTAGATTTCCTTGATGATCTCGGCAGAAACTGTGGGGCACTTCTAGAGGGCTTCTCTCCAGTGTCAGGGGCAGATTCAACAGCTGTCGTGTGGCGTCGAAGTCCCACCAGCCACGCTCG